AGCAGCTCTCAGTTTATAAGGTCCCGGTGGTGAGGGAATTTACCGATGTGTTTCCAGAGGAGTTACCCGGAGTGCCTCCAGATAGGCAGGTTTAGTTCAGGATCGACTTTGTGCCAAGTGTGGCCCCTATCGCCAAGACGTCGTACCGAATGGCACCGCCTGAGATGCAGGAGCTATCATCTCAGTTGCAGGAGCTGCTGGACAAGCAGTTTATTCGTCCAAGTAGTTCACCCTGGGGAGCACCGATCCTTTTCGTCAGGAAGAAGGACGGTTCGCACAGGATGTGCATTGATATAGGGATCTGAACAAGTTAATGGTGAAGAAACGTTATCCACTCCCGATGATAGATGATCTTTTTGATAGTTGCAGGATGTGTCTTGGTTTTCCAAGATTGATTTGAGATCAAGATATCACCAGGTCATGGTGAGGGAGGAGGACGTGGAAAAGACCACGTTTCAGACTTGTTATGGTCATTACGAGTTCATGATGATGCCGTTTGGGCTCACCAACGCATCAGCGGTGTTCATGGATCTGATGAACCGAGTCTATAGACCGATGCTCGATCGCTCGGTCATTGTGTTCATAGATGATATCTTGGTGTATTCCAAGACTCGAGAGTAGCATGAAGAGCATCTTAGGGAGCTGCTAGGGGTTCTGAGGCGAGAACGGCTGTATGCCAAGTTCTCGAAATGTGAGTTTTGGTTACGAGAGGTCCAGTTCCTCGGACATCTCGTTAACCAGGATGTGATTTTGGTCGATCCGGGCAAGGTGGATGCATTAATGCAGTGTGAGACTCCAAAATCTCCGTCAGATATCAGGAGTATCTTGGGTTTAGCAGGGTATTATCGAAGATTCATTCTTGATTTCTCCAATATTGTCGTACCCCTCACTCGTCTAACGTGGAAGGGGTTCGATTTCAGGTGGGGCCCTAAGCAGCAGAGGGCATTTGAGACCCTCCGACAGTGTTTATGTGAGACGCCGGTGTTGACACTCCCCAAGGGAGTGGAGGATTTTGTGGTATTTTGTGATGCATCCATGGTTTGGGGCAATCCTCATGCAGAGGGGATGAGTGGTCGCCTATGCGTCGCGGAAGCTGAAGCCGCATGAGACGAGATACCCTACTCACGATCTTGAGTTGGGAGCGGTGGTTTTCACTCTTAAGATTTGGAGGCACTACCTGTACGGGGTCCGTTGTACTATATACATGGATCAAAAGAGTTTGAGACACATCATGGATCAGCCGAACCTGAACATGAGGCAGTGCAGGTGGATGGATGTGGTCAAGGACTATGATTGCGATATCCTTTACCACACTGGTAAAGAGAATGTGGTTGCGGATGATCTGAGCTGCAAGTTAGCTGGGTCGTCGACCCCGGCCAGTTGTATGAGGATAGCAGTGGATTCCCCACTGGTGGGTTTGATCAGAGATGCCCAGATTGAGGGCATGAGGCTAGAGAAATGGAAGTTGGAGAGGATTAAGGGTGAAAGCGCCCAGTTTGTTCAGGATAGCCATGAATTGTTGACCCGTTATGGTTGGGTTTGGGTTCCGATGTCTGGAGGGGTCTGGCAGACAGGGATGGAAGAGGCTTATAAGTCTCGTTTTTCGATTCACCCGGGAGCCACCAAGATGTACCGTGATTTGAGTTCAAGTTATTGGTGGTCTGGTATGAAGCGAGATATCGCTTGGTTTGTTGAGAGGTGCTTGACCTGTAGGATGGTCAAATCCGAGCATCAGAGGCCGCATGGTAAGTTACAGCCTTTGGAGATTCCCATGTGGAAATGGGAAAGGATCGCAATGGATTTCATCACGAAGTTGCGGAAGACGGCAAGGGGGTTCGATGGTATATGGGTCATCGTGGATCGATTGACCAAGAGTGCCCATTTCTTAGCCATATGGGAGTCTTCGTCGGTAGAGAAGTTGGCTGATCTGTACGTCAGAGAGATTGTCTCTCGCCATGGGGTTCCAGTTTCTATCGTTTCCAATCGAGATGTCAGGTTTACTTCCCGTTTTTGGTAGAAGTTCCATGAGGAACTGGGTACACGACTGCATTTTAGTACAACGTTCCATCCGCAGACTAATGGGCAGAGTGAGCGGACCATTTATACCCTCGAGGATATGTTGAGGGCGTGCTTTATTGATTTCGGTGGAAGTTGGGATTCCGACCTACCCCTTGCAGAGTTCGCCTACAATAACAACTATCATTCCAGTATTGGCGCCCCGCCTTTCGAGCTATTGTATGGGCGGAAGTGTAAGACCCCAGTCTGTTGGGGCGAGGTTGGGCACAGAGTGATGGGTCGGACAGAGGTAGTTCTACAAACTATCAAAATCATACAGCAAATTAGACAGTGAGTGCAGACCGCTCAGAGCTGGCAGAAAAGTTATGCCGACCGATGCCGATCTAAGCTGGAATTTTAGGTGGGTGACATGGTTCTTCTGAAGGTCTCACCCTGGAAGGGTGTGATCTGCTTCAGGAAGAGGGGGAAATTGGGTCCCCGTTATATCGGGCCATTCAGGATTATCACCAGGGTTGGCAGGGTGGCTTATAGGCTAGAGCTTCTGGAGGAGCTTAGCCGGATCCACAGCACATTTCATGTTTCGCAATTGCGAAAATACATTATGGACCAGGAGGTAATGGTAACGTTGGATGACGTTCAAGTCGATGAGCTCCTTAACTATGTGGAAAGGCCTGTGGCGATTTCTTAAAGGAAGAAGAAGATTCTCCGAAACAAGGAAATACCTTTGGTAAAGGTACAATGGGAACATCGAAAGGGATCCGAATGGACATGGGAGCCGGAGGTGGAGATGCGCAGCATTGCCCGTCATTATTTATACCAGCGGACATCGAGGGCAAAGTCTAGTTCAACTGGGAGAGAGTTGTAACGCCCCAATTCTCAGGTATTGTTAATATGAGTTTTTTTATTAGGCCCTACTCGACGAGTTGGTTTACCTACTTGTCGAGTAGAAGTGAGAAGGATCGTAGGTTAAGTGACCTACTCGACGAGTCTATAATGGGACTCGGTGAGTAGGATTCGGCAAGTGAAACCCTAATTCCCGGGGTTTGCACCCCTATTTAAAGGGACCTTAACCTCCCTTGGACCTCCTTACAGTTCCAAAGAACCCTCGAGAGCCTTATTCGTGTGTATGTGCCTTGTGTGTGTGTGTTTGAAGCTTGAAAGAGAGTTCTTGGAGGGAGAAGACTTGGAGGAGAAGGAGATTGAATCAATTGGAGTGTGGGAATCAACAATCATCGCAAATATCAACTTCAAACGGTACCCAATCCATCATTCTCCCTATAGATCTCCTTTATTGGGTGAGTTTTAGGGTTTTCATGGAATATCAAGTTGGTATGATGAGCAATGGACTAGATCTGAAGTTGTAACTTCAGATCTGGACTCTCTTTGGATTCTAGAAGCATAAAGTTGCAGCTTTAGTCGTGATTGAGGTCCCCTTTGTGCATAAATACCCATCAATAGCTTAGATTTTCCATTTGAGCATTTAAAGCCATGAATGCACGTAAAGTGTGCAACTTTACGTGATAAGCATGCCCTAGAAGCTCGGATCTGTGATTTGGAGCTGCTGCATGGCTCAAAATGGATCTGTATGGAAAGAGGACTGAATGGACTCGGTGAGTAGTAAGGTCGACTCGGCGAGTCGCATGAATATGGCCATTGAACTCGATGAGTTGGTTGAACAACTCGGCGAGTCCGATGAAGATTGTCATGAGACTTGACGAGTTGAAAGAACAACTTGGCGAGTCGGATGAGTTTTAACCAAGAATAATGTTCATGAGTATATCTGTCGAGTTGCACAGAGGGAACTCGACGGGTGGCCTTAAGTTTTGATCAGGATTCGAAGGAACTCGACGAGTCACCTCGATGACTCGGCGAGTTGGATTGTGCTTCAAGGGACTCGGTGAGTAGCTGGTTGTACTCGCTAGTTGAGGTCAACATGGACTGTTGACCTTGACTGAGGACTTTGACCTTGATCAAGGGTTGAATATTGGGTTATGGAGTACCTTATAAGTTTAAAGACTTATTCGTATATTGAACTATGGTTAAAGGTGGTGGAGTCGGTGTCGAGTGATCCGAGAGTTGGATTTTACCTTCCGAGTCGACATCGGTGAGGTGAGTTATCCTCACTATATCGATAGGGTCTACGACACCAAGGTCGGCCCTTTAGTTGTTATTGTTATGGTATGTTGCATGTGGTTATGATTTGTTAGTTCGGAATCGAGGTAGACAGTATGTTATGCTTTTATGATCCGTAGGGATTGGTGGGTTAATGACCTGCTAGGTCGGTACTCTAGTTACAGGAGAATTCTATGATTGTGATCAGTGAGATAGATATGTTTGATGTTTGTATATGCCAGTATATGACAGCTATGCACACATGGTTATTTGCGTGTTGGTTGGGTTGAGGCAGTCCCGCTTTGTGCTGAAGGCCAACATACCCTATGAGCGGTCCGAGGAGACGGTAGGCCCACGTGGAGGACCGGTCATGTCGAAGGCTCGGGATAGATCCAGATAGACTGTAGGCCCGGTAGGGTGGTCCAGTCAGGCCAATGGCCTAGTATGCATGTTGATTGATTGATTATTACTATTATGGTATTGCCAGTGTGGTGTTGGTATTTTGGGGTAGCTCACTAAGCCCTCGGGCTTACAGTTTTCAGTTTACTGTTTCAGGTACTACAGGAGACCGTGGAAAGGCGAAGGCATGACCATATCGCTCATCATCCTTATGTTATGATTTTTGGGACACTCTAATGGAAATATGATTTGAAAACATTTTATAAACAATGCCATGTGGTTTTTTTTCATGGTTGAAAAAGTTTAAATTTGGTGTGAATTTTATGGATGTTACAAACAAGTTTTTTAAATTGAGTTGGGTTCATCCTATTATATTTCTTAGTTTGTTCTGCCACAATTTGATCGATTGTAAGACTTGAATCATATGCACGTGTTTTTAGTGAACCTTTCCAAGTCCTCCATTTTTCCCCATGCTAAAAAGGATCCATTTCTTTGATTTCACTTGTTTCAGCCAGATGAGTAACAAACTTGGCCTACAAATAAAGCTTACATGTAAATATAAATACACCGTAATTTTCGTTAATAGATACGTACCTTAACCATAGAATACATATCTACTTTCTTATGTATTGGGATCTTCCTCCAATCATCATAATCTATTCCGACATGATTAGCCATCCTCACAAGGGTCCCAAGGTATTGTACGATTTCATTTCCTTCATCTCCTACCGGTTTTCCGAACCTATTAAATGTCACTACTATTTTTTGGGAGCTACTCATGTTCCATGTCTCGGTCTTTTCAGTATAACCCCTTACCTTCTTTTGACCACCTAAGAAAAAAATTAGTAAGTTTAACCAAAATTAGCAATAGAGTGATACATATGATAGTTTTCATCAATTAATTAGTAAATAGACATGTATTTCTTTTTTACTCAAAATTGAAAGATGTGTTTCTGTTACAACTTTGAAGCCTTTATAATGAGGCAATAAATTTATTCCAAAGCAAACATCTAAACCTTTATTTGAAAAAAAAAAACTTAAAAGACTAGGGAAAGATTAAGAATTGACAAACTTTAAAGATTTATTGATTTAATTTAACCTTACATATTTCAGATGATGTAAACAAAGAGATAGTTAGATAAAGGAAGTGGGCATTCGATCTAGTGGTAGATAAAGGAAGTGGGCATTTTTCTTCAACAAAATCAAAACATTTGATCTACTAGAAACATATCTACCTACTCAAAATGGATAACATATACCAGAAAACATATATGAAAATATGCAATAATAGTATCAATCAACAGAGTAAGGGTCATTTAAACAGAAAGGTAACTGCTATAAATTGAAATTGTAAATGATAAAAGTAAAAGAGAACATGAAATACTTGAAAAATATATGTAAGATATGTCATTGACATACCTGATTTACCTTCTTTAGTAGAGTTGTGTTCTTTAGTAGTGGAATAGCATCCTTCAATAGTTTGTGGATGACCTGATTGATCTCTTTCAGTGGGATATCGGTTGCAGAAAACTCAGAACTTTGATCATGTATCTCACTGTCAATAGGGATATCAGTTGAGGTGATGCATAGCCTCTTACGCCTACCCATCCTCCTATAACACCACAACAGATAAGTACATGCATACAAATATTTATACATATAATACATAGATACATGCATATAAATATAAACATAAAGATAAAGTGCATCAATTTTTCATTAACTATTATCAAACACTAATCTAGTCATTGTTATTTTCTTCATCATCTATGACATCTATGTTTTCATTAGCTATTATCATTTCTGGTGTAACATCTATGCCATCATCACCAACCCTAAGTAAGTTAGGTACATCAAATATGTCATCATAAGCACCTCCCATGTCAAATACATCTCTAAGCTTTACAAGTCACACAATCTCCCAACCTATATGTTTAGTATCCATGGAGTAGAACACCTTGTCGACTTGTGATGCCAAAACAAAGGGATCATCAATCAAGTTAACACCAATATGTGTCTTATATGAGAAGTTGACCAATGTTACATTGCCATCTTTCTTGCAACCTCTGTTGATGTCAACTCACTCACATTTGAATAAAACTACTCATATCATTCTAGAGTAGTTTAATACAATAATGTCAGTTAATTTTCCATATTAGTTATTCATGCCTTCGACTGGCCTTCTATCTCGACTACTAGAATAATTTGCACCTTGTAACATAACAGTCACACCACTATTTTGATTTTGTAGAAGTTCCTTTCATTTTCTTGTGTGAAATCGATAACCTTTAACTAGGCATCTTGAGTATTTTTGCACAACTCTAAGTGGACCACGTGCAAGCCATTTTATTTCGTCGGTTACATTTTGATCTCCTTGCTCTTCCATGCGTGCGACCTATCAACATAATTATACAATTACATCTTGAAAATCAAACTTTGATACATCAAATATTTATTCCAAATTACCCTTCTCTTAAACCAATCACTAAATTGTTGGCAGTGAATCTTGTTGATTTCATAATCATGTATCCGCCGAGATCGATTTTGTCCCTTTATTATCCTTTTGTGTTCCCTTCAGATAAAGAACAACAATATGAGGTAAATGAAGAATAATATGTAAGCGCATAGGAAAACTAGTTTATCTTACTCTTAGAATGGTGAAACTGATTCAACATTAAATAGGACATAACGATGTGCTTGAGTGAGTGACTTCTCGTCCAGGACGAAATTTGAAGATCTCTTTCTTTTCTGAAGTGATACCCTAGAATGCTTTTTACGTCCCAATGGGTGACCTGGGCAAAGATTGTTAGATTCTTCAATCTCATTTTGGTGACCTTCATCATCATTCCTAATTGGTCTAGTAAATATGGTTTCTACTCTTGAGAGATATCTGGAGCAAAATGTTACACTTTCTTGAGCTAAATAGCCTTCAGCAATTGAACCTTCAGGATGAGCTCTATTATGAACGTAGGACTTAAGTTCTAGAAGGTACCTATGATTATAATTACAAAAAACTGATCATCTATAGAATAATAAAAGATAACAGGAAAATTAAAAGAAATAATGTTTACCTCTCTATAGGGTACATCCATCGAAAAGCAACTGGACCTCCTAACTTAACCTCTCTAACTAAGTAGATCACCAAGTGCACCATTACTGTAAAGAATGAAGGAGGAAAGAACTTTTCCAATTTGCATAAAGTGAGGGAAACTTTCGATTTGAGATACTGGAGATCAACTTCAGTAAAGTCTTTGTAGCAAATGATCCTAAAAAAATCACTCAACTCTATTATAGTGGAGCTTACATGGTCTGGCAAAGTACCTCGTAATGCAATGGGCAATTATTCTTGCATCAACATATGGTGATCATAACTTTCATCCCAATTAGTTTCTTCTCATTCAATTGCACAGATCAAGAGATATTGGATAAAAATTTATCAGGAGGCTTAATTAGCTTTAATATTTTTAAGAACAATCCCTTCTCATCCCGATTCATTTGATAACATGCCCTTGGCATGAAAATAGTATCGCTTCGAGGTCACTTTTTGGGATGCAATTCCTTTCTGATAACCATTTGTTTGGCATGAAAGTAGTATCGCTTCGAGGTCACTTTTTGGGATGCAATTCCTTTCTGATACCCATTTGTTTTAGATCAAGTCGTGTTTCATAGTTATCTTTTGACTTTTTTCCTTGACCTAAAAGAGTCCCCATAATGTTCTCAGATACATTTTTTTCAATGTGCATCAGGTCAAAATTGTGACGCAACAACAAGTGCTCCCAGTATGGCAACATAAAAAAATACTTTTCTTTTTCCATGGACAACCATCTACTTTTTCAACAAGAAATTCTGTACCATCTAACTGTTGGAGAACCTCCTCTACGGAAGAAGGTTTTGGGGCAACTCGTAATTCCTCTCTTCCAACAAAGGATTTAGTGTCTCTACGCCAATGATGATTACTTAGAAGCCATCTCCTATGACACATGTAACAATACTTTTTTCCATGGGTTAGCCATTTAGAATCAGTATCAAAACCACATAATGGACATGCAAGTGCTCCTTTGGTGCTCCACCTAGACAAATTGGCATAACCGGGAAAGTTGGATATAGTAGAGAGAACCGATGCCTTTAATTGAAAGTTTTATTTAGTTGAGGAATCAAATGTATTAGCTCCAACATCCCACAACCCGTTCAATTCTTGTATCAAAGGTTGCATATACACATTTATCTTGTTTCCGGGAGCTCTTGGACCGGGAATAATAAGGATAGAATGAAATTAGGTTGTTTCATAACCAACCATGGTGGCAAGTTGTAGGGAATAAGAAAACAGGCCAAATACTTGCTAGAGTTAAATGAACATTGCGGGGATCACTAGCAAATTCTGGAAAAATTTTATCAAAATCTTTCCAGGCTAGTGCATCATCCAGATGTCGAGTCTTTCCATCTTCCACACGTTCCACATGGTGACACTTCATCAGGCTAGCTGTCTTCGACGACATGAACAATCTCTGAAGTCTAGGCTTCAAAGGAAACCACCATAATACTATTGATGCCTTCTTCTTAGGTGGACTCATTCCATTTTCTGAATTATCTTGAGACACTTTCCATCTCGATGATCCACAAATAGAACAACATTCATCTTTCTCCTTCACTTCCCAAAACAACATGCAACCGTTAGGACACGAATGGATTTTTTCATATCCTAATCCCAGTTTAGCCATTATTTTTTTCACTTGTGGTGTGGTCTTAGGTAAAAAATTCCCTTCGGGTAACAAATATTTTAAAAACTCCAACAACATAGAGAACGATTTGTTACTCCATCCATTAAGACACTTTAGATGGTACATGTGCACTATATTGGATAACTTGTTGTATTTCCAATTTGGATATAACTTCTCTTCAACCTCCTTCACTATATTATCAAATGCTCTTCCTCCATTTTTTTCCTCTTGACCACCATTCAGGTAGCCTTATGTATCTCTACTCCAGTTCCACCAATTTCAGGGTGAAATACATCATTCAGCATTTCATACATGTCGTGGTCAAAAACATCTTCTACTACATTATGTACTATACCAAATGATGTAGCTGTTGAGCCTTCCCCATGATACACCCATACCAAGTATTCTGAACGAAACACTGAACAAATGAGATGATCCAAAATATCTCCTCTTCCACGATAATACATATTTAGGCAACGTGCACAAGGGCACAATATCTTTCCGTTAACATTTGATCTCTCAAATGCAAAATTCAAGAACAACTGAACCCCATTTATAAAAGATTCACTACATCTTGGTGCAGAATACATCCAAGATCTATCCATTATTGCTCCAATGAAAACAAACAAGTTTGGTAATCATATTGATGGAAAAAAGTTAGTTATTTCAGGAAAAGAAAAAAAGCGATAGAGATATAAAAAAAAAAAAAGTTGTTTTCACACCAAAATTTAGTTCATGAGTCTTAATGGAATCATATAAATACATGAGGAAGATAAGAAACTAAAAAATTCATGAATGTTGGAACATATAAAGAAACACAGACTAGAGCTAGTTGCAACATGTGCAAGTTTGAAGCCTAGTCAACTCTTAGTCATAAAAAAAGAAGCCTAGTCAACACGGTGTAACTTTGGTGTCTAATATACAACTAAAAAGTCAAGTATCTATACAAATTGTACATGTGATTACAGGCTTATAAAGAGTGATCATCATTTGAATGTAATTTTCTTTTGACGTGTTAATTAAATTTGAATTTTTTTTCCAATTTTTGGCATAATTTCTTCAATGGGCTACAAATGCTAACACCACAGCATCAACAACAACTTTTATTGGCACAACAAAACATGAGCATGGGGAGTAAAGATTGTATTTCTAATTCGTTTGGTGATGTTGTTCCAAATCTTGGAACACCTATGCATGTTCTACCTCGTGGTGATCAAGATATGTTCCTCAAGGTGCCTTTTTTTCTTTTCTTATACTCTCTATATTTATCTTTTCCTTTAATTTCATTTATTTGTTTATTATAGAATTCCATGTATATTTTTTTCCTATTACATTACATCATTATACATAGAAAAGTCTACCCATTATAGCTTAAAAGTTGATACACAACTTCCTAGATTTGCTTTTTTTCAAAATAGTTGGATCATGATAAATAGTTTTTGTAATCATCTTTGATATATGAGTTTGTTATGTAATAGAATTTATATATAAAAAGTGTTGATGTGTCTAACTAGCTTTTTTTAATAATTGGATACTTTGGAGTTTTAATGATTTGATAGTTTTAAAAAACATATTTAATCCATTTCTAAACAAATCATGCCTTTTGTTACTTAAGTATGTAAGAATAAAGCATGACATCTTTAAATAACTAAAAAATACGCCTTTTGTAGTTAAAAATGGCTAAGTTGCAGCGGCAACAACAACAACAACAAAATGGTAACCAACAACAGCAATAACAACAAAATGGTAACCAACAGCAACAACAGCAAAATGGTAACCCAAAACAGAAGAAGCAGCAACAATAACATCTTTAGCATTCACTCTCTGCTCCTTTAATTCAAAATTCAAATTTAAATCTTCAACAAAAAAAGATAATAGGGAAAACTAGTG